TTTTTTTTTTTTTTCTGTTGGCCCGAATTGTAGAATTGTTCTTTGAATAAAATTTTAGCAAAAAAGTTGAATTAGAATCCGTAAGATAATTATAAAAAATTTGAAATATGGGTAAAATTTATCCAATTCAAAAATGTAACGTTAAAAATTAAAACTACTAATTTATTTGTTTTAACTTTAACTTTTTTATTTTTTTTTTAGGGTTTCTCTCGTGCTCTGCTCAAGGTTGAGAGCAGAGACGATGGGTTTTCTTTTTTAAGGTTTTTCTCTAGCAAATGAGTTCCTTTTTTTTTGCTTTCTTCTTACCCTTACCTTCCTCTTCGATCTGTCCTTCACCTTCGTTGACTATCTTGCTTTGGAAACTTCAACTCAAGGGACCACAGGGCAATGATATATTCAGATCTACATTTGTGGTTAATTTTTGAAGGCTGTAACAAGGGTATTTTATCGGTGGATTGGGTTTCTCCTATTCAACGAGTAGGAGCCTCGTTTTTTGCTCATCTTCTCGAATGGGATCTCGTGAGGATTGAATTCAGCAACGCTAGTTCATTCCAATTTTAGATCAGCTAGTCGAATACGGAAGGAAAGGGATGTTGTGGGTGTCGACGATTACAGTTTGTACGGGAGGCATGATATTCAAGCTGGCAAAGGGGCTCTAGTTCCCTTAATAGGGTAGCAACTTACAGGTTGGGGACTGTTTGTTGTCGGAATCTCTTGCTCTCCTTATGAAGCTGGTTAAATAGGTAAGGATGTCCAATAGCCTCTGATGTTCAGATGGACTCTCCTTTTTACATTCATACCCTTATTTAACTCATACAGCGATTGCAATTGTAATTCCTAATTGCAGATGACTATTTTTACTCAATTGTTTATATTCGTTATGGGTATAGTTTAAATATATTACTAATGCTATAGATTATGCTTCTAATTTGTCTTCTAGCTATAATGCTTTAGGCTACATGTTATGTAATGGAGTTTTTTTGTATTTTTTTATTATTTAATATAATTTTTTCATTTCTTATAAAAAAAACTTTAACGTTTTAATTTTTAGTTATTTTTTTAAATTTATTATTAAAATATCTCTAAAAAATCCTCGATATATCTCAAAAATTATTTTTAAAAATAACTTTTTAAAAATACACTTTACATTAATTTATATATTTAGAAAAATTAATTTCTTACCACCGTCGCTACTAAGTGTGGTATGTTTCAATTTCAAGTAATAAAAAGCAGCTTTGTGTTGTCAGATTGGCTAGAGCAAAGAACAGGGCACCAACGGCTGGCCACAAGCAAAGTACAGGTGTTAGAAAAACACTGTGCAAGGGAGTGGACCCTGTTCTCTGCGGGCACGATAGAAAATCAAAATAGTCGTCTTGCTAAGGGCATT